AGTATGATCTGTTTACTAATAAATTCATTATTCTTTATTTTAAAAGAATAATACGTTTAAATAAAAGTTAAGTAGATTAGAGTTAAAGAGTTTTTAAAACTATAAAAAAATAAATATGCAATGTTATATAATAACAAAAATATTGTTTTTATAAATTATTTTTATTTGAGCCTTAAGTCTAACCAGCCAAAACAAATAAGTAGTTAAGATAAAATTTGATACATACGGTAAATATTTACTGTCTCATAGATATTTCTTACGTTATCTAAATTACGGATAAAATTATAATACTTCTATGAAAATATTACTAAAATATTACTTTAAATAGAACTATCGTCATCAGCCTATCAGCGCCCACTGCTGAGCAAAGGCCTCTTTCTCACATGGAGAAGGTTTGAGCATTAATCACCACGCTTGCTCAAGACGGGTTGGTGATTTCAAACCTATAATTGTGAAACTATAAGTCTAGGTTTCCTCACGATATTTTCCTTCACCGTATCTCAGTGGTGTCTAAATACTCTCAGAAAGTACATATGACTCCGAAAAATCACATTGGTACTTGCCAGGTTTAAACCAGCCCCCTCGGCAACGAGAGGCGGAGCCTTTAACCACTAGGCCACCACTGACTTAAAAAAAAAAGAACTATAGTTAAATATTATTCTTCTTTAAAATAACCAAATTGGTAAAAAGGATTTTTTCCAAGGGATCGTCTTAAATTTTAAATGTATATTGTATTATAATTATGGCATAGTAATGTGTTTAAGTTTGATATATATGTACTGATTCTCAAGTTCATAAAAATCAAGGTAATTAGTTGCATGTGAATAAAACTAAGCGTTAATATTTCCGGCATTTCCTCAGAAAATTCAGTAGATATAATAAATGTATGCTGCACAGATTCATTAACTACATTACACGCAACTTATGCTATTAACAGATAATGATCATGGGAAGAAAATAGTTTTTATTTTTCGTTAGTAATATGTTTTTATCCTGTCTTATTAATAATTCTCTATATGACTAAAAATAGTTCACTATATATTCCACAAAATATAAAGAAATGGGTGTACTGGTAATTAAATATTTTTGACATGTTTAAATGTTTCAAAATTCTTTGGTCAATAAAATGAAATATAACATTTAAAAGCATTTAAGTTAAAAGATATTTTTCAACCTTCCTGACTTTCTTATATTTATTGAAACAAAGCTTTATAATCGATTAACATCCCTAAAAAAAGATATTCAGAGCATTTAATTTATAAAGTAGTATCATCAAGAATTATTATAAGTTTTTATGTATGCTTGTTTTGCTATTAAAGTTTTCAGTGCTACATTATAACACCAAAACATAGGTTCTCAATCAACAAAGGACTATCATGTTCTAACTATCGATATAACCAAAGTATTACTTAACAGCACTACTTCTAGTACGTCCTCATTTGCTTCGTATAACTTTAACTTATTACTAATGCATAAATATAAAGATCACAAATTCTTCATCTCAAAACTATTCAAATGATACTTGAACCACAAACTACTGAGACACAATATACTTTCCAACAAAGATATTGTTAGAACACGCCGCTATTTGTAAGCAGTACAATACACTCGAATAAAATATTCTTAGTTCGCAACCTAACAGTAAAGCCTAACATAGCTCTGACAGACCCGATGTGACATCTTATATCCAGTGAATTGAATACAGGAAAAATAGAAATGGAGTAACATTACTATACCTCAAAGTTTTAGGAATGTATTTCAAAACTTTAGAGATATATATTCCTGAAATGAGTTAAAAATGAGTTAAGATTCAATCCTATAATAGTTCATTAAAATAGGGCATTAGAAAATTTGAATTTGTCTTTTAGTTTCACTTGACAAGCCAAGCTTCAAATAGCAAAAGAGTAATATTACGACGATGTATTCTCTGAAATATTTTGACGTATTAATTTGTGAAAGAAAAAATAACATGCGTAACATTGCTATAAAATACAAAAAGAATTTAATAATGAAATAACAAGATCTACGGGTAAATAAAGTCGTGAGATCAAAGTTTATTAATAATTTTATAATGAAACTCCTCACCTACAAAATGATTCAGAGCTCGCAAATGAAATGAAACTACGATTTACTTTACCTTAATTAGTTTGGGAAAAAAATATATTTATTTTGTCAATAAATATATCAACTATTATATAAAATTTTATACAACTTATTCTGTAACTATTCCAAAGAAATATTTTAGAACCTTCAGTCTGATTATAGCAGCTGAATAATCTGTATTATTTTCTAATAACATTCATATAATTTTTAATAAGCTAAAGAGAAACTGCATTATATAAAAATCAATAAACAAATTAATGCAACATCTTCTCAATTATCTTTGTATAATAAATCATGTAGGAGTAAAGGAAAGTAAGCAACTCACGACCAACAAAGACTTATATGACAACGCAAAAGGTTCTATTACCATTTATATCTTGACTCACTCTTTCGTACAAGTGCAGAGGTATTTGTGTTTTGATCAGAGGCTAAATATCCTTTTTATATATATGTTGCCTACTATTTATTTTATATTAAGATTCCCATTTTTTTACATGGATTATTAAAAACCTAATTTTAACAACTTTTATATTTTAATAATTATTAGTATTACATATAAAATTGGGTTTTATTATATATATTTTATCAAAACGGTAACAAACAAAACCAAATCTCGCATACTACATAGTTATTGGCAGTAGCCGCATGTTAGTTAAAATAAATTGGGGAACACTTTCCTCCAATTATTTGTAACGAGCTAACCATTTTATACTACTCCTTAGCTTACAATTTATTGGATACTTATTGACCTAAGCCTAAGATTCTTTGTTGTGACGGGCTCTTTAATTCACCTAAGATTTCTTTTACCAATTCCTACAAAAATCATGCTAGCAAACTCTCCTGCCAGTATTTTAGATTACGTCCATACAAGGTTTTTTTTTACTTTCAATATAGGTATGATTGTTATAACACAAAACAGGAAAAGAAAATAAATAAAATAATTAGATAATTATTAAAACAGTATTTGGAAAATTTAGAGAGAGTGCTGGGAACTTTTGCAGTTTCCCTTCAATTCCATAATTTCTGTTGATACAACTATAGTGCCAATGAGAAAATCACAAAGAAGTTAACATAAAAAAATAGGAACGCTTTATTTCTAATAAAAAATATTTTTGTGGCCATGATATTTACTTTTCATATTTGTATACGTAAAAACAAAATGAAACTTTGTTTTTCCACGAATTTTTAGTATTTGCAATATATTAAAATAAAATATTGTAACCGAGGCATGTATTTCTTGCTATTATTTTATTTTACATCTAGATATTAAAATAACAGTACTGAAAGTCACCAAATAAGAGGTTTTGAAAGTAAAATATAAGTATTTTATACTTTTCTATATAGGGGATACATTTGAACAGCTGATCATTATACGAAGACTTTTCTGTGATAAGGTGGATATACTCATATTGTGTATATGTATATAATACACATATATCTATAGTGTCTCAAAAATGAATCACATAGTATCTAAAAATAACCACTACAATCGTCGTTAAGTGCTAAGAGTTAAATCCCATATATTCCATAATGAACTATTGACTAGGAACTACTAGGAAACCATTGATATAATCCGGACACGTCTCAGTATTCCAAACATAAAACAATCGATTTGGTAAGTTCACGACGATAAATGAGCGTTCCTGTTAGGATATCTGGGCTAAAAGCAAAAATTGAACTCGCAAGTAGAAATTATCCAATATACAATTTAATAACACTTCAACGAGCGATATCTACCTCATAATCGTTACAAGATATATAAGAAGGAAAAATCGAATATTAATAAAAAGTCTTCATATAGCCAAAGCCTTTTTTAGGGTGGTAGAGCCTAGCTGTGGTCAAGTTACTGCAGCACGAATGATGTGTCAGCCTCTAGGCCAGACATATATCGGTATTCATGAATTTAAAGCGAGTTGTGTTCCTTGGGAAAGAAAAATCCCCAAAGAGCATGCTATCAAAGTCAATAAGTATTACAAGATCACTAACTAACTCACTAATAATACGTTCATCATAAATCCGTACGAGTTAGAAGTGGCAAACTAGAGATTTAATAGCTAAATCTCTCTTGAACCTACTAAAAGACTTGTTCCTATCCAGAACTAACATCAATCATTCTTAGAATATACGTACTACATAGGCAACCCTACAAGGTTCATTTAAAATTTGGTCAGATAGAGAAAGGAGCATAGACAGTGGTGGTGAACGTTTATCTCACGTTATATGGGCCCTTTACACCTACATCTTTAACTGCAACCCGATGGACCCGGCAACCGCATGGTGAATCTATAAAATGTTGAGAAGTTTCATCTGTTCCTCTCGTCTTAGTACAGTAAGTAAATGACATAAAATTGTCAAATATCAGATAAATATAAATATGGATGTCTAGTTTGATTAACTCGAGTATTTAAGAAGAGATATATAATTATAATGAAGCCAAATTATTATCAAGTCTTTATACGGTACAAAATGTATTATATTAAAAAAATTAAGTAACAATTAATAATGAAAGAATTACTAATTATTTGGTTTCCGAATTACTTATTACAAAATTAAAATAATATAACGATGAGTACAATGTTTACAAAATTCACGAATTCATGAAAGTACAGGTTATAGTAAATGTAAACGAAAATATTTATTCTTTACTTTTTATATAGAATTATATTACTCTTTATGTATAAAAAATATTAATGTTAAGTCAACTGGTCACGTCCTTCGCGGTTCGTTAGAAAATATTTTGCGTATTGCCTTAAATCAAACAATATATCACAAAAGGGCTCATCTCGTTGTGCTTCGATTTATTTGGCCGTAAAAATAAAACTATGGCAACCTTTTGTTCGTAATTTTATTTGCTTATTTTTAGAATAGAAAATATTGCCGAGCGAAGCCTAAAACATCTATGCAGTGGGACTATCAGAACTTTTTGCTTCTTCATGTACTTGTGGAGGTTGCATTTCTAATATCTTCTTTCTTAAATCCTTTTTGTGCTGACCATAGAACCATCTACAAGGCAATAAGTATTTTTCAATCTAAGTAATCGACTTAATTATTTTTTATTCATTTACCAGTGACTATATCTTCTAAACTTGCTTTGGTAATCTATTTTATGATAACTAAGCAAAGGTACTTACATAAATATACCAACAGCTGGCACTGTGGCCAGAACAGTAAATAGGAAGACGGCTCCCGGCAATATATGCAGCGTCAGTATATACACTCGAGAATATAGTGGAGCGAAAATCAGAGGCATCATAGTCTCCGCCACACCAAAAAGTGAAAATACTTTGCCTGAAATTGGATTAAAAATGTTTTATTGTGTAAATCTGTTTTTTTTTACAGTAGACAAAGTTATATATAGATAATATTATTGTGTGTACATAACATTGATACTTTACCTAATTCTTGATGAGAAACCAACTTGGAAGCGATTGACCGAAGTGCTATTGTTGTAGTTCCATCTAATATTTCTACAAGCGGTGCTAGAACAATATTATATTATATTATTACTCTCCCTAACTTTAGATTAACTCTAAATTAGACTTTTTTAAAAAGATTATTAGAATGTAATGTGAACCGCAAAAATTATACATTAAAATAACTAGATTATCAGATTCAACGCGCAAGTCGTTGAATTATATAAATGTACAACTGTTATGTGATATTTTCATCTCTTCTGCTAGTGAATCCGGTAACTGAAAGTTGGTAATCGGTTCACCTGTTAAAATTTTGTAAGTGATGGAGCCACAGAAATTAATTATTGACTGTTTAAATCCAAGAAATCTTTTGAATTTTACACTTCTTGTAAAAATTATATCCATACACTTGGCATACAAACTAAGACTTTCATAAGGAAGTGTGTTAACATTATTAATGACTACGTATGACTTAATTATTTATATATTACAAATACCTATTAGTGATTTTTTAAATACAAAAAAATTACCAAATTATTAAAGCTAATAATATTCTTCGATATAAAATAGAATGCCATCGTTATGCAAGTTACGTGAAAACTACAAATATTTCTACGACCAGCAACTTGACACAACAGATTATCTGAAAAATATATTGTTAGAATACCAACAGTATTTGTAAGCAGTACAATACGCTTCAGTAAAATATTCCTAGTTCCTTGTAACCTAACTGTAAAGCCTAACACACCTTCGACAAACGGGTTACGATATTTTATATGCATTCAATGGAAAACTTCAAAAATAGATCTTTCCATGAAATAATGTAAAAATATCTTCTCATAAAAGTATTTTCCTATATACGCTTCAATATTTTGTTAACTTAGGAATTAAAATAAGCATATTAGGCAAATATTTAATGAGCAATATGTGTTATTTTTACGAGAAACTAAAATGTTATTAAAACCAATGAAATTGATACAATTTGTTATTTAAACGGGTAAATTTTACTGTAACTCAAATTAATTATATAGAAAAGTCTAGATAAATTTGTGATAACAAATAACAGATATCAGAATGTTAGTGCCAAAAGACGTTCAGATTGTTCTTACCAGCATAAATTTCATAATTGCTTCTTGCAAACGCTGTCACTAAAGCCCCAGCCATCTTACTTGTAGTAGATATAATTCCCAACACAGAATCGTCAACTCCTAGTCTTTTACTAAAAACACTAATCGCAAACATTGTACCTGAAAAATCATTTGATATCGTATTAATCCAACATTATATATAATATTTCCACATATGAAACAAAATGAGGTCAAATGAAAATAAAAAATTATCTTAATGCATTTTATATATAAATATTAAGCATATTTTTAAATTTAATATTTTTGTTCAGGAATCAATCTGAAAAATTGGGGTATAATAATTTGTTGAAAGACACAATAACCCTTGATAGCAATCCAACGACAAACAAAAAGAATATAATAAAAATATATAATATTATCTACAAGAACATCATGTCAAGAGTATAAAGTAAAATAAAATAATATGAATAAATACAACTCACCTATAGAATGGGTGATGAGTTTGTAAGTGGAAAAAATACTGTATTTTACTTCGTCCCAATTAAAGCGGTAGCGAGTAAAAATATACATTATACTCATTTCACCTGGAACAGATGAAAAATTGTTAAAAATTTGTTTATATGCCAATGAAGGATCAAATTTTATTTTGCACAAAAAGTTATTGCGTTTTAAATTGTCGACGAAAAATGTTTTCATTTCCAAAATCACTGTTGTTTTATTTGCATCGTATGTAAATAAATGTTTGAACTGTTCCGTTGACAACTAAAACTGAACTAACTGAATTGTCTACACTTTATTTTGTAATTGATACACTGAGTAACGGTTTTTAGTTTAGAATCCAGCTTTGATGTTCAAACAATTGAATATACTGTTATTGTCCTGCCAATTGTTGCATCCTATTTTTAGAAAAATCAATAATATATTTCACATTTGCTATTCTCACATCCCATTCTTAGCCCTGTTCTATATTTTTAGTATATCAGAGTTGTCAAGAAATACTTTATACCACTGTTCGAAATATACTGTTCAATTCGGAAGAGTCACGCCTTATTATAATTAAAGTTACACCATTAATTTTTCAATTGTCGGTATTTATTTTAAACTCCACTATTATACAAGTATAAAAGTAATGAGTGCTGCAGTCAAAAAAGCTTTTGAAATTATATGGATGTAAAATAGCTGACTAATTCTCATTTTTAGAAAAGTATACGTATATGGATCGACGATTGTTGAAACCAACTTTCAATTTTCATATTTTTTAAGTCCAAATATGTGTATATATTGTATATAAAGAACCATTGATGTGTTATATGTATAAACATTACAAAATATTTTATCTGACAATACATTGCCCGTTAAAAGATATCAACTTTAAAATTGTCGTTGAACCTCAAACAATGTTAGTGAATCTGTGTTTTATTATAATATAATTACAGAAACAAGAAAAGTATTATCAATTATTATTTATGAACACAAAGTTTGGCAAATATAAATATCATTACAATTATTTGTATCAGGCTACTAATATAAATCAATGCATACTATGGCATTGTCCAATTAATTATTTTTAATTAAAGATGGTAGGTTTAAGTCACTGGTGGCCCTAGTGGTTAAAAGGCCCGCTTCTCATGCATGAGGGAACGGGTTTGATCCTGGCAAGTACCAATGTGATTTTTCCGAGTCATGTGTACTTTCTGAGAGTATTTAGACATCACTGATTAATACATTCCCAAAGAGGGTTGATGTCAGGCAGGCGGCCGGTCATAAAAACAATTAGCCAAAACTATTCATAACATGTTAGGTAGACCCTGGCTAAAGCTGGGAAATTGCCGGGTAGAAGAAGAATTAAAGACGGTAGGTTCAAAACATTTTTCTAAGTCTTTATAGTGCAAAATATGTAACTATCAGTCACGATATAAATTTACAAGATAATAGTTATTATTTAACCATAATGAGTTTAGATCTTATAAAAGTCATAAAAGTTAAATAAGTAGGTTTATAATATATACAGGTTTTTAATTATATTATTATTTAATTTAACTTTGTTATTTTAAATTTTGCTGACCTAATTAACACTGACGATAATGGGATTTAAGACTTTTACGAGTATTCATATAAATGAAACTAATATTTTCGGGTTACTACCCGTATTTCATTATAAATACGCATAGTAATCCGTATATATTAAACGTGGGAAGTATGTAGTATTTTAAAAATAATGTTGAAATAACTTTACAAAGACTACAAGAGAGTAGAGTAATAACTTTCGTTCTATTCATCACATGATAACTCTCTTTCTATAAATTAACAATTATTCTGGTCAATAAATCGTCTCTCAGTGTAGGCTACAAACAACTAACCGCTGTACATGCACATAAATGATTTACACGTATGCACTATACTTACAAGCAACACCAAGCTAATGGACTTGTTGGACTGCAAAATGCTATTTGTCATATCTTTCTATTTTCTGTCACAAATTAATTGAAAATTTGTAAAAAAATTGCTTGAAATACGTGATACATATTGGTATGATTCTTGCTTTAAAGAAGTTAAGACACAAATCCTGTACTACATATATATTGAACATTGAGTAACAAATCATTATCTGACATAAGTATTTAGAAAATTCATATTAGATGAAAGGACTTATTTCTCGTAATGTATAAATGAAATAGTATGTTCAGGGTTTGTTTGATAATATGTTATAGCAAGAGATAATTCCATTATATCATTGATAAACAATATTCATTTATACATCTAACAGATTATATTACCTCAAGCAACATTCAAACAAACAAATTACAATAAACCCATAAACTAAATAAACACTCGTAAATTATAAACATATCTATATGTATATATATACATATATCTATAAAATGGTTAGTCTTCATATAGCAGATAGGAATCGCCTCTATACATTTGTATTTTAATTATTATTTTATCATGTACCACGGTTCACACTTTAAGTGAATCCCAATTCATTTGCCTTGGAATTTACACGTTCTAAATACCAATGTTAAAACCCTAAGTAGGTGTACATCCTCGATCATGTGTTCCCTTAACACCTTCCAATGCACGTGGATTTAACACTCAACTTTATTTAGAATCATTCGCAAATAAAACAGTTCATTGCAAGTCTACTACCACTTCTTTGAAAAATATTTGTATTGACATTATGTTAAATGCCATATATATTCAACGGACACATAAACACAAACGAATTAGATACATGAGGTAAGATGTCAATGTCTGGTATTTAAAATATTGAACTATTTTTGTCGGATAGTTTTTGGAACATAATTACGATGCTGGAACAATTAAGGACTTAAGGATTAAATTGCTGTGCAAGTAAAAAATAAATACGCTTATAGCAATATTTAAAAAAATACTTATTTTTTATTTATATACATATTGCATAAATTTTAAATACTAGCTCTGATATGAAATATAAACGTTATATTTATTATAGTTTATTACTTGAACTATATTTTTAGGAAATGAATTTAAAAATATGATAATTTGATGACCCATACCATTATCCCAAACGGCTTTCGTCAATGAATTCAGTTCTAAATCTACATATATTATCACCATTTCGATAGGTGTCAAAGTCCTCAGTAAATAATAGCACTCAATAAAATTTTGCTCGCAATGAAACAAGCTGACCATCCAGTTTTATTACGTCACAATCAAAAAATTTAAAAATTTACAATAAGCCGTGATTGCTACAAAATAAAATTACGTCACGTGGAGGCTTGCACTCAATAGCAATAACAAAATTTCATTTTATTTAAACATAATCATACGCTTTGTCATTTAACGATTATAATGGTAGAACTGAATCACTTAATTGAGAAATCAGAGGACAAAAATGACATACATTTAATGAGATCTAAGATTTTGGGATCTAAGTTTCATTTAAATGACATACATAGTTTTGGAAGACAATTAAGAGACTTTGACTGATTTATCGATATTAACGAAACACAGTTAAAATCTATAAGAACATTCTTGGCTTTGTAATGAAAAGTACAACTAAATTGGTCCATCAGTTTAAGAATTATGATGTCGACAAAAGATACACACAGAAGCATCGACGACAAACTTACATCTTTTTTCATCGGGGCTTAAAATACAAGAAGTCAATGTAAATTGGTCTTTGTATAATTAAATGTTGTTTGTGCATTGTATTAAAAAGACAAATAAATACATTTACAAAACTCAACCATGCGACAAGAATTTACATACATACATTACGTTATTTAATTTTATGAGATTTTTGCTTTATAGTTTTGAAACTTTAATAAATATACTGCTGTTGTAATGATTCCCAATATATTTTTCTGTTTTGAGTACTTCAATCAGCAGTATGCAACGCTTGTAGAATAATTTTGGTTTGGGTCAATCTACCTATCACTGTATAGAGACCTTTTCCGAAACGTTTTGAATTATCAATGTCAAGAAATACTCAAGTTCAGTTCATGAGCTCTAAAACTTAAATTACATAACTTTACGCTTACAATATAAACAATTCAAATAAAATATAAACATATGATTTTGCAACACTATATTAAGAAAAGTCTCACAAACTTGTAAATAGGGCAATCAAGTAACCACGATATATAAGAATCAATAGGACTACAGTTTAAACTATTTCTTCAGTACTCAGTATTTTGAATGCTTCAATTAGATATAATACATATAATTACTTATAATCATAATAATTACAATTCGAGCCATGTTTAGTTACGAGGGGGTACGGTTGCGGGGGCTACCAAGACGGTACGGAATCCTAGTATTTTATGTTAGAATTTCGGTTCGGTTTTTTATGTGATATTAAGCACTTAATATTTAATTTAGTAATTTATAGTAACCCGAAAATTTGCCTACCTACCAAATTTTATATTAAAATGTCAATTTTTAACATTACATATTTTCAAATCTCATAAATATTTATTATGTGTAATGTTTGTCCTTAACGAAACAAAAGTTTAACACACCTTTCATCTTTAAATTACTTTTATTCGCCGTTGCAAAAACGTAAAAGGTCTTTTTGACCTTATAATTTAAATACGTTTATATTTTTGAACATCACAACAATTTTAATATTGAGTAACGTTTTTAACTTAATCATTTATAAAAAATTTAATATTTATGAATGAGGAACGAGAAATAACATTTATAAATAGAATAACTTAACATATCCTAAAAATAAAACACTGAATAATTCATTGTAACTAATCAATAACAGTCTCTAAATTTGCTAATAATAAAATGCATAATAAATTTTATTTTGCAGTTTAAAATGTATTAAAAATGAAAATCAGTTAAAGAAATAGCTTAAGAAAGCTTTATTCCTATAATATTTACTCGAATTTGGTAAAAGAAAAAGGAAAGTAATGAAATAAAAGGCATCTTTTATTTTTTAAAACAAAAGACCATACTCATGCTAATGTGATTTTATATTTAAATTTACTATATAAATAACATTTATTTTTTTATATACCCCAAATATCTGTATGTTCAACGATCGTCGAAATAGACCAGCAGTATATCTGGCCTTTAAATTAATTTATTAAACTTAAAGATAAAATATGTAAATAAATTTATTTACTAACCTAATTAAGTTTAGTCAATGACTTGTCAGACATCATTCACGTTATAACTACATGTAAAAATTATAAGATTAAAATAATTTTATAATGATTTTTGTACGTCTATCTGTTTGATAGAATATTGCGATGTTGCAAGACATCGGATAATAAAGTAACAAATGTGCCACTATAGGATTCATTTTTATCTTTTAAATTGTAGCCAGTAAAAAACTGACGGGATAAACTCATTTTCATTTCCTTTACCTTTTCTAAAGTAAAAAAATAGTTATACCTATATAAAGTATAGTAAAAATTATTACGAGAACTTTTAATTTTTTCGTAGTATAAATTAATTTTAAGAACATTTTATATTTTGAAAATAAGTTTAATGATTTGAGTAAACAATATTTAAATTTTGTAAGATTAAAAGTTTATATTATTTATTTTTAACAAATTTAAAATATTTTACTACTTTTGAATGAATTGTTGAAAAAATATTTGTGTTTTGCCATTTTTGAGGTAAATAAATATATTTTATTTTTCATAACTTATAAATATTTAGCCCGCAAAATAACATTTATATAAGGAAAATGTTTTAACAAGTACTTCTTAGAATATTTCTAAGCTAAACAAACTGCTCAGTCGCTAATTAGAGACATGTCAAAGAATGTATGATGCAACGAAAAATATTATGATTTTTGTTAGAAATTTATTCAAAAAAATAAGAATTTCTTAAAACATTTTTGCCATATTATTTCTTCTTTGTTGAAAACTGAGAACTCTTAGCGTACATTAACGAAAAAAATTAAAGCAATTGAATAATCAAAATGTATCTTAAATTTAATCCTAGCATGAAATACTTTTTGCATAATGATACAAAAAAAAATAAATCTATCAAGCATGATATCCTGACAATATGCGCAATACGTCAAAAACAGTCAGTCAACTGTATAGTTTTTGTAGATGGTATTTGATACTTTATATTTATATGTTTTAAGTGCAGTGAACAGATCAATTGTGGTTTTATATTTCTTTGCTTGAAGCAACAAAAAATGTATCCTATATTTTTATGAAACAGATGACCTAGATAGAGATGCATATGTGAGGCAAATCACAGTAATAGTATGTAAAAATTGTGTTACAATTATAGTTTTTTTTTTATTAATGCGATTTATATGTTTAAAATATCATGAATAAAGAAATAGAGTTAAATTTTTGTATATTTTATGGTTCAAGCATTCAGTGTTTTCAGAATCTTATAATTTAAGATAAATAACTTGCAACATAATAATTTTATATATTCCAACTCCGTATCTTCTTTATGTTCTACCTTTTATAAACTAGCCTATAATTATCATAATCTCAATGTCATTACATTATCTATAAGGTAATGTATATTTACTTATACTGATAGTATTAATACATACCCCACATAGGTCCAAAGCTCAGGCAAACTACGGCGAGGATAAGACATATTCGTAATCTTCTGTTATTCGGACCCTTTCTGAACACTATCTTGAATGTTTCCTTAATGCTGTCGATGTCAAAGAATTCCATAAAAAACCCAACGGCACCACTTTTTTTTACCTGCGTAAAATATTTTGAGATTTCACAATAGTTGGGATTTTAATATTATTATATATCTTTTGCTTAAATTATCTTTTTCATATACTAAAGCTTTAATAAATTGTCAAAAACTAATACTTATCTTACCTCTTCATTTTTATTTAACCAAGTGTGATCCTTAATACGGAAAGTGACATAGCAGAAATTAAAAAACTGAAGCAGTGCAGATAGGGAAAATACACCATAATATCCTATGTACTTCAATAAAAGACCACTAAATCCCATTCCCAAAGGAAAGCCGACAGTCATGCACAAACTCAATATGCCCAATCTAAAAGTCCTTGTATTTTTTGAAGTTATATCTCCCAAGTAACTATATGTACCAAGTAAAATAGTATACCAGCCTCCAGTGAGCGATGGGAATATGACCTCCATGAACACAGTCCATTCCACAGAGACTTCATAGAAAAAATATGTGTTCACCATATTTAAAACACAAGTAATAAATTCCCCGATGATCGGCATTGTCATGCAAATTTTCCGGCGCCCGGTCTTATCGCTCCAAGCACCGATAAACAACATTAATAGAGTTGGTACAGCCGTATGGATAACGCTTTTCCAAGCTTGAACTGATGCTATCAACTTTTGAACTTCATCTTCGTAAGAGCTAATATTTTCTCTCTTTCTCAATCGTAAATTAGTGCACACTTCATCTGGAAAATCTAGATTAACTCTACAGGCTTTATCTAGATTTAGATTTTGAGTAGCCATAACAGCTAAAACGCTTGGCATCACAAACAATGCCAGCACCGGTTCCACAGTTACATTGGATCTCATAAATCTTAACTTATTTAATAGCGACATTTTCTTGAACTCATTTTTTACTTCAGTTTTCAAGGGTTGCTCCTCCACAGAATCGTCTGTCATTTTGGGATCCATTTGTAAAATTTTGTATAAACAAACTATTTATGTATTGACACTCCACGTATTTCATCGGTAAGTTGAAAAAAATAGTGTTACTTTATCATGTCGTTCGAAAAGGAGACTGTCAGAGCGGGCGTAAGCACACGGTCGAAGTGAACGTCGGTTCTGAGGTACAAGACTGATTGTTCATGTATCGTACGTAAACATCCTTTTATTGTCATATCTGTTTTAAAATCAATGAGCAAACACAAAGACTATGAACTCACGCTAATACAATACACTCATATTCAAAAGATTATATATTAATAAAACACACACTAATCAAACAATATTTATTATTGACTTAAAATAGATTAAAATTATCATATCAACTATGCAACTTCGTTAACGTTTTCCAATTCTTCAGCTTGCCGGTTGTCCTCTTTTTGCTCGAAATACATCCACCTACAAGATTTTGTGAATTAGTTAAATATAAAAAAAGGAAAGGAAGTCTTTTTAGGCGAACGTGACTTGATAAAATATAGGTAAACAGGAAATATATAAAAAGAGAAATGTGTGATATTTCCCCTGACAACATAAAGACATTATACCTTAAATATATTAAGTTTGTTGGCGTTTTGGTTCAAATTAGCATAGTTGACTCGAAAATCTTTTTTACAGTATATGTTAAATCTACCAATACGCTACAAAGAAATGAAAATGAGACTTAGTCAATCTCAAAGAATATATCAAAAAAATTAGGAATTTACAAAAAGATCTAATTTAACAAAATGTTATATTATGCAGTTACTTACAAACTAAACTAATTTATTAAAACAAAACTATTGCCAGGGTTAAATATTGTGTTACACGGAACGGCTATATCTTTTCTTTGTTTGTTTGTTATTATGATATTCTAATAAGCTCCCAATACAAACACGCTGATAGTGTGCGATATTTGAGAAGGCGGATTGACAACATGAAATTACTTATACGGATAGTGCTCCTCTTTAAACCAAGTTCTTGATTTCCTTGATAATGAAAAATGTAAAGAGGAAATCAGAATAACAAATAAAAAACTTAATAATTATACTTAATGCAAAGATTATATATGAAGCGCAAAATATCCATCAAGATATTAAAATATTAAGTAATAAGTTGTTAATCAAACAAAATACATATTGAGAAAATAAATATATAGTCCCTACTACAAGATACGGTCACTACTTAATCGAAAGTAAATGTTTGTAATAAATAATTAAAATGGCGCAATACTTTTAAATATTTAATAATATAATCGCTACACTAATATGGTGTTAAAAGGTTTTTATGGCTTTAAAACTCACCCAAATATGGCGACCGCTGGAACTGTCATCGCGGCTCCCAGAAGGAACACAGCTCCTGGCAAAACGTTCAGAGTCGCCATGTAGACCCGTGAATATAATGGTCCATATACAAGCGGCATCATTGCTTCAGCCAAGCCAAACAAGGAATTCACTTTTCCTACGAAAACATGTTTTATCATTAAAATTAACAAAGATGAAGGAATCAAAAATTAATCTTTAAAGCACCTTGGTTTAAACCTTACAAAAATATCTATAAGTCTTATTCATGACCAAGTTTTTTTTTAATTTATTTAATTCTGAGTATGGATTCATTATGAGTATTTATTATTATTTAAATATAATTAAGGGAACGATTCACAAAAACATAAAACGAAAATTATGAACTGTACAATTATTTAGCTATTACTATATGAATTCAAAGTAGTTCTAGTAAATATGTAAATCAATGTTATTAAATATACACTATATATGGAAATATATTAAAAAAGATGAAACAATGCCCTCGTATATTTTTAGAAATAATATTATAATGATAAAAATAGCAAAACACGGAGATTCTTCCACGCGATGTGGCATTTTAATAAACAACTTCAGTTGAGTTTGTTAAGAATAGACTGGTCGCGTTTTTGCATTCATCTTATAATTAAATAAATTTGCATTAAATACTATATACAATAACATAAGTTTATACTTAATCAAAAGACATACTATCATATATGTTTATACGAATAAATTTAAGAATGAAAGTAAGCGGTTTTCTTCAAACATCTCATTAAAAAAAATATAGCTTAAAAATGCTGCATTCAAATGTAAAGCAATTTTTAATCCTTGCTTTTTTATTATAACAGGCGATACATAAAACCAGTTTTTTTTAAACGAGTTTAGTAAATACGAGGCGCACTAAAGTTGTTTGCGAATTGAAAAGGTCAATCCGATTGACAAGTTGACGCGTTTTACGATACACTGCCCTGTAATAGTGGTAATGAAAAAAAATTGCATTTTCAAAACAATTACTCCGCTACAAACCAAAAATAACGACCTTGGTGTTAATTAAATGAATTAATACATAAACTTAAGAGTGCCTTCATCATTTCACCAGGTAATATTTTATGGTTCTTAGGTTATATGAAAATTTAGAAAAATGCTTCGACGTTATTTTTTCTATTTTAATATATTACACAGGATCATTTTGGTTAATGAATAATTTGTCATATTATTTTTGAAGCTTAATTCTGTTCATGAATATTAAATAAGATACTTTATTCTGTGCTCAAATTACAAACATGAAACAAAAAAAAAACATTTTGCCTTGTATAGGTGTAAGTCTGTTGTGTTACGTATTTTTGAGTGCTGATGTGTTTTTTTTTTTCTTTTTATAAGTGAGATACTTTGTATATAATCTGTGTTCGCATAATTGTTGGATTGCAACTCAGTTCATTTATAATGTTTGCTCATTAATTATTCGCATATTTAGTTGTAATCTGTTGTGTGAACCGTTCAAAATAAATAAATAAATAAATATACAAAGAATTCCGTTCTAAATGCAAGAAATAAGACGCGACTTAATTTGGTCGTATTTGAGTTAAGAATCTGTCTTTTTTACTAGAAAAATTAAATATTACTCAACCTCTGTTCAAATAAATGAGGAAAGTTAATAAATTTTATATATACATAACTTTTATTTTTAACAACTATATATACAAAAAATTAAATCACTACACTGGGTGACGTATTTAATGACGTAAGTAAAACTGCTCAATCGATTTCCTTTAAAGGGTAGTGAACCCTTAAAAAAATAGAAACAGGGCCAACGTATTTTTATTTGTTACCTTTTTTTACTTCATATAACTATTTCACAAGTTTTATTTAGATTTTAATGTGCTAACTTAAACCAATACCAGGATATTATTGTTCGATTCATCTTCAAGACACAGGGTTTTATGATATAAAATCACAAACAATAAAAAAATACTAATCCGTTTAAAAATTACTTATAATATATAAGTGACCGAAATACGTAAGGCAAGTTCTTGTAGATTTAAAAGACTTTAATTTTATTGACCTTATAAGGGACATATTAACATACATATTTTATCAGATCAATGCTATGACATGCCTTGCACATGTCACCTTTTCTTATTAATATTACATAGTACTACATAGTATTACATAGTACTCACCCAATTCTTCGCTAGTCACCAGTTTAGAAGCAATTGATCGCATTGCGATGAAGGACGTGCCATTGAATATTTCAACTAGCGGCGCTGAAAGCAGATTACGTAAATATAAAATTTCTATGAAATATTCTTATCAACGAAAACATTTCAGTTATACTATTGTGAAATAAATTAAGCTAAAATACATTAATCATCGTTGTTTTAAAACACAACACAAGCATAATTAGGGTATAAAAATCAATTATTGTAATTAAAACGTGTATGTTATGATGGTTATTTGTTATTTTGAAACTTTATAGCTATGCAGATATATTTTACCGATGTATATTTCCGTTTTAGTACTAGCGAATGCAAATATGAAGGATGCCAGTATCTTGCTGGTACACGAGATTATTCCCACCACACTATCGTCGAGTTTCATGAAGTCACTAAAAATACTGATGGAAAATAATGTTCCTGAAATAGAGAATTTAATGTATGTTTACTTATTTTTAAATAGATATACAATTTAGTATAAAATGACATAGGACAAATACAAATTAGGTGGTTTGGTGGTTTTGTATGATTTGCTAACAAGTTAGTCTAGATAATGAGTTCATTTTTATATAAACTACAGAAAATTAAAATGTAAACAATTTTTCTCACCATTACCTGAATATTTTTGATATAATTGAAAAATTTACAAAAAAGCAGGTTATGAAAAATAGAGGTAAATATATAATATATGTATTTTCGAATAATTGTTCCATACTTCTCATTACTTATCAATGTGTCCGGAATGCAATAAAACTATACTTTACGTAATACTATTAAGTAGTACAAAATATATTAATTTTCATTCGTGCGCTTTCATATAAATCTACTCAAAAGTACGCTATGACATATCTTTACATCTTATGTCTTCTGTCTTATTTTGAATACAATTATACTCAGAGATTATTATTTACAATAAGAGATCCTTATGAATTTACATTACATAGAATGTATTTTTGTTGTTACATTTAATTGATTTTAGAAAAAAAATTAAAAATTTGTTTCTATTATAGATATGCAGTTAACCTTTTTGTAGGTCGAGGCTATCTAAAATAGTATTAAGTGTTTAAACAGGTACATAACACATACAACAAAGATTAATATAATCAATTGTTAATTAGCACTTGAACAGTTTTTTATTATCAAATCTATTTGTCAACCTCTTGTATGGTTATAAATAACAACGAAGTAACTATAAAAGTTTACACTGTAAATACTGTATGTATAAAAATAAATGGAACGCACTTGATGCTTGTGATTAGTTATTATATTACTTTAAAGTGTCCGCTTACTTTATTTCTTAAAATATAAACAACGCAAGATAATGTATATGTATATTAATATGATTGTTCCACTAATATATTTAAAATTTGGTTTAGATTATTTAACCTTATTGATTTAAAATCTATCTGCTTTTTAAAAAAATTATAAAATTCACAACCATTTGGAGAAAATTTACATTCAAATGTAACGTATTTCATTTGCCTCACCTGTTTTACTACAAATAATAACGACGAAAGCTTTTAATTACTCTTGAGCCGGTAATCTTACTATGACATACCTATTGAACCTATTATATATTAAACCCATCACGTCAAGGGAATGCAATCCTGATCCTTTAATATAATCTGGAACGGTATAATGGTAAGGCCTATCCCGGGTCCGGTTTAATAACATTAAGGGACTCAGACGAATACCAATTATAATACAAACAAATTCATTTGCTACACTGAGCTTGAGATATTTACAAAGACGTCTTACAGCTCTTCACAATTTGAAGTTTCATTTCAATATTTACACGACATTATGAACACTGAAATTTATTTATAAGAATAGTACCTACTTATGGAAGTAATATATGTATATTTATAAAATTATAACTCACCCACTAAATTTGTTATGATGCTGTAGGTACAAAACATGCTGAATTGTACTTCATCCCAATTGAATCTATATCTCATGAACAGGTATAGTACATTCATCTCTCCTGAAAAATAATAATAATTTTCGCAGCATATTATTTTGACAGAATCAATTAGGGGCCTTTGATTAAATAATTCCAGAGTGTCCTAGAATTATATGAATATTTTGCTGTAGCTGTACGATTTTATTCCAAATAAACATACTTATACGACTTTAATAATCATATAAAAAAACAATAAACACAAGGCCAATAAAAAATATTTCAATGAGGAAACAGTTAAGGCTAATGCGAAAGGAAGTCGGGTACTTTAACTGAACACGTAATAAGCAGCTTTGAAAACATCCGGATTAGAATTATTTTACTGGACACTACAAGATTTAAGATCTTCATAAATTTATATGTAACTCAATATATCCTAGGAGTATTGGATTATTTTATAAATACAGTTATGTTCTTTCATGTCAGCTAGAATTATGGATGGTTTACCATGTAAGGGTCCGAATATAACACAGACAACGACTATGAGAAGAGAAACACGCAGACGTCTACGTCGTGGTCCGCTTCTAAAGGCTACGGTGAGAGTTTCCCTCACATGACGTGCGTCGAAAAATGAACACATCCATCCCCGACAGCCCACTGGTTGTTCCTGTATGATTTTTTAATTTAATTATAATTACACACGACACCGATAAAGAATAAAGTTTTCAAAATCTGCCAATAGTTATATCAAAATTAATAGCATTTTATATTTATGTAAAAATTCTTGTTTGTTTATATATATTTTTTTCTATCTTAATGTGGTTTTAATTGAAACATACTTTATTAATCAAATGGTTTTAAGAAAAATAAAAATGGAATGTGTATTTGTAATAATATTTTCTTCTAATTAATTATGAGGTTCGTCTCTTAAAATCTTAAACAAAAATTGCAAATAGACGCTGCATATGTTTATCTTCAAAAGAAATAATCCGCCTTTGGAAATGTTATGAACATATAATTAATAGATGATTAATAGATGATGATGCTTTCGGTTCAATAATAATTATAACTTCATTGATATTTAGCTTTTAAAGCTGATATAGTCTAGGTGTGGTCAAATTACTGCATCTGGGACATGGGCTCCCGATCGGGGAAGTACCATTCGCTCACAGAAAATCGGCCTGAATTAGTTTTAAATGGCTTGGTTTGCCGGTTGTCCTTTTCCTATTCCCACCCTTTCCTCTCCTTACTCTCCAATCAAGAGTTACAACGCAACCGTAAAACTACATATGTTGCGGATATCTATGGATGACAGTACAACAACAGGCCGTCTGCTAGTTGCCTTTGTAGCGGAGCTACTTAGATTTAAAACTAAACCTTCTTTGTCATAAAAGACGGTGACCGAAAATTTAAATATGAAACGAAATCTTATGAATTCTAAAATTCTAAGTTATAAAAATGATACATCAGAGCCTCAACAAATTTTTAGATTAATATTCTAAAAATAAAACAAATATTATAATATTATATGTATATATAAAAGTAGGAGCACATTTACCAAAAAGTTTTTTGAAATATTAATTATATATAATGATTTATAAACAATATTTAAAACATACATGTAAATTAAGACATTTTGTGTTGTCAATAGTTACAATGTCCTTCAATTGCTATATCTGTTTTATTTTGTGATATCGTTAGCTATAATTATATTCCTTCTATTGTTTTTTAATGAATGAAGGTAGCGAAAAAATATGATATGAGAACTTAAGTGAACCCAAAAAAAGCGAAATTTTGCAAAGAGAAAGCAAAATAAGTTGAAGTTTTGTCGGTAGAACGCCGTAATATTTTGCCGTGAACATAGTAACCACCCATCAGGAACGGTTAGGTCGCGCCCACGCTTTCATGTTCTCCAATAAATTTGGGAGAAGAGTCTGAACCTAGTGATGTATATATTGGACAGACGCCATATTTAACATCTAAAAGATAAAGATCTCCTTGGTACTCGAAAGTAAGAGTTTAACGACTTAATATCTTCTACCTCAGCATACCACCTCTTCAGCGTAGACTTATGAAAGAAACTTTCCAAAGAAAATCTAAACTATCTAGTATGAATTATATAAAAAAACTACCATTTCTTTTATCTATAATTTGTATTATTTCATTTTGAGTATAGTCTCATTAAAGTAGTTATAAATAAATTAGTAGTAATATGCAACTGTACTTGTAAGCATATAGAGTAAAAAAAAAATTTACTTGCAAATGTCTTCTTAAACGTTGGTTTAATTTAAAATCTAATTTTGTTAATAAAACTTCCTAAAGATATAATAACTTTGAAATCATTTTCAATTATAATATACAATAAATATCAACACCCAAAACTAAATCTCAGTTTCATTTTATGAACTAAAATGGCCTTAATTATCGTTGAACGCTTATGATTAATGCAATTTGTCCGAATCTCCCCTGTCAGTGTTGTCTGATCGTAAACATGTCATTGGACAAATATGAAATTTGTCATTTGAAGGTACAAACTCACTAAGCCTTAAATAAGTTTATTAAATACAGATTTTTTATTATTCTAGTGCGCCACAAGATATCACAATTTTTACCCATGATTATTTTTATAGAAATAAATATTTTCTGTAATTAAAGACGAATAAAAATTAAAAAAAAAATGAAACCGATTTCTAAGTTATACCTAAACAGCACACCTATGTTTGCATGCTTAGGAAGAATATATTAAAATAAGAAAGAACGAAATAAAAACTAGAACTTCAGTCTTACATTAAAGAAAGTAAAGAATACAAAATGACCACGGGTTTTCAAAACCATTTAAACTCAATCCTTTCTTCGAATTATCAAAAACGACAGTTATACATAAATTTTGTACGGATTTGAATGCTGTGATATCATGTTTTTTTAATATCTTATTTATTTTTGTTGTTACTAATGTTATAAAGTAAACTACATAGGTTAATCCATAAAGATTCCGGATATTGCCTTGCAATCAATGAGTTAAGTCCTAATACACTGTTAAAACAACCGCAAGGTCCTCGTGTATATACCAAGAAATGCGGTTACGTAATAAAGAAATACTTAAATCGAATTTCTGGCTTCGGAGATGGCTGTCCTAAATAATGCATTAATTAAAAGCGGTTAAAATTCCCTATCACGAAAACTACTAAACTGATTTTGATGAAACATAAGTTTAGCAGTATTTCCTAAGTTGAACAACACTTTGTACAACAAAAAACGAGATATTTAAATTGGATTTGTTGTTCCAGAGATATGCAAATACAGACATAAAAACATAAATACAAACACTTTTGATATTTGGCATATTTGTTCAGACGCAGATAAAGACTAACATTTCCATAAATTGGGCAATTCTGGGAATATTACATACACCTAGTTCGAATTGATTTGAAAACTTTATATAAAAGAATAAATAATACTTGACGCATAATTACAGACAAGTATAAATATTTAAATAAAATATTTTACTCACTCACTAATATGTATATAGAATTATCATAAACCCTTCTAATAAAATAGTGTATAATAAAATTACTTGATTCTTAGCAAATGTTCGTGCATAAAGAGATTTAATCTATAAGATAAAAAAAATATTACAAATACTCTTAAAAATTTATATGAAACTCGTCCTACAAAAAGATTTTTTAAAAGCATGACCTAAAACGAATAAATCGACTGCCTTCGGAATGTTTACCTAACTAAAATATGAATTAGATAAGCTATGAAATGTGGTTTAGCTACATAGCGCTTTTTTAATTCAAAAAACAGCAAACACAACTGTGCATATATCAAACTAGTTCAGCAAAATGACTTTTAAATGGAATGATAACAGACGCTCCAAATGCATCAACCAACACCCTATCTATTTTTCATTCATTTCATTTCATTTCATCGAAAACTAAAATAAATCACTCATATAACATAAAAAAACAAGCGGAATAAATGGACAAAGTATTACATTAGAAATGCAAACACGAAGCTGAGCCTTGTGAAAACTGCTGATTGCATTACGATGTTCCCCTTCGTTCGAATTTGCGTAGTGGTACCGAGCAATTTATCACTTAGACGTAGGACCAGGCCACGAATGACGGACGACCTCAGATTGTACCTTAGTCTCCCATCATTCAACAACCCTACACTTCCGATAGTATAGATCACGTTGTCTCAACTATTAACTATGTTATATATATGAGAATAAAATTAATACGGAGCATGAGTGGCTTATAAAATTAATAAATAAAGACAAAAATTAGAGTTTTATTTTTAGATTGAAAGATGCACCGATGGAAATGAAAGACTTGTAACATGTAAACATATCTTAAACTTACTCTTTGTCTTTCTTCGGAAATAACAGGGTCCTTTAGACGTATGTATCCGTAAATTAGACTGGTTAAATACAAACAGTTAGAAATAAGAAAAATTCCATAATAGCCAATTTGCTGCAGAAGTATCCCACTTAGTGACATTCCAATTGGTATTCCCAAGGACATGCACAAATTTGCTACTCCTACTCTGAATGTTCTCATTTCTTTCGTTGTTACATCACCAATATAGCTGAATACACCAACGCAAACAGTGATCCATCCTCCGGTTAGCGACGGAAATAAATCAGAGAGGGCTGTGACCTCTATAGGTAATTCGTAAAAAAAAAATATGTGTTTAAAATAAAACTTGTGCAACACAACACTTCACCAACTATTGGTAATAGAATACATGCTTTTCTTTTTCCGGTTTTATCACTCCACGAACCCACAAATAGAACTAAAATGCAGGGAAAAGCTGTTTGCACTACATTTTTCCAAGCTTGTACGGACGCTGTCAGCTTTTGTACCTCTGATTCCTCGAAAGTATAGTTTTCCGTTTGCCGTCTATTTAACGCCGAACAAACTTCATCGCTATACCCCAAATTCACTCTACATGCCTTTTCTAAATTTAAGTTTTGGACTGCTAACCCAGAAAACACATTGGACATAATATAACATGCTATAATAGGTTCAACAGTTATATTGGATCGTATTTGCATAAGCTTGTCTTTGACAGTTGTCCTTTTCGGCTTCGATTGCTTTTTAACCTCCTCAGAGTTTTTATCTCCCGAAACATTTATTCCATTCATTCTTTCTTTTTATCCTGGAAGGCCAATTAACCAAGGATATCGATATTTATAATTCCGAGATTTAGCTTATTCATATTTAATTTATTTGATTCGTACATGGTTATATATAATTTATTTTAACACTATATCCATTGTGAATAAATTTAAAAGAATATCAACTTGGTTTAGGACGCCGTAGGTTCACAGGTTTGTCAGCGGACTGATCTCCTTGTCTTAAGTAGATGAAACGGATACACGTCCAAGTGGTGCCATTTACCAATTTGTGAGTGTAGTGTCTCCTCAGAGCGGTAGTGTTCGCGGCACTGCGTGGACGAGGTATCACAACCTTGCTCTCAGCTACCGATTATCCCATTAGTCCAATGTTATGTTATGTTACTATTGTAAAATTGTGGGTACGCCTGCCAGTAGCACACGGTCAAGGTACACTTCATATAGGCGGGAGGAATTAGAACTACTTTTATATGGTATTACTTTATGCTATATTTAAGAACACTTAACAGAATTTACTATTTAATAAATCAAATATATAATTATTAATTACTTTTTAATTCATTTCATAAAAAGTTAATACGTCAAGGACAAAAAGCAGCAATTTTTATATAAATATAAGAAAAGTAATGTAAGTCAAGGCCTAATATCTTAAATTTGGGGCATCTGATACATTTTATCTCGTTGATTTATATCACCATTAAATGGGAATAAAAATCATAGATGGCTTTTTTATTTTCATGCAAATAGCTTTGTATGAATAAATGTTTTTCATATAGGTGAACAGTTTAATATCTCGACGTTTTGAAATGAAAATAAATCTCAAACAATGGGTTTCACGATTCTACGGGATTTGTTACTTTGTTTATTGTATTTTTAAAATTTCATTTCTATTTTTGACATCCGTATTTTTATACAAAATTTTGGAAATGTTTTTTATTTAAGTAACATATGGTTCTGTTAAAATAAACTTAAAACAATAAATGAAATTATTACAATGTAACAGGACTCAGGAAATTATGTATTAAAAAATTAATTACTACATATTAATTTCTTGTAAAATTTGAAAAGTTATATGTTTATGTATAAGAGATATCCAAATATTTGAGAACAGTTCCAATATTTTTACGATTTTAATTACTCTTATTGCTTTTGCATAAAAACCAATAAAACTTAAATAAGAAAAAAAATTATTACGTCAGATTTCATTCACATTATTACTGCACCTTTTACTATAATATCTTGAAGTTAAAGTAATTAATGATAAAATAGTTGAAAAATAACTTCGTTAAATATTAAACAGAACTTTGTGTTGTCGAATTAAAAGATAGCGCTATCTTGTCTCCAAACAAATGAAGTGACGTCAACTAAGCTACTGTTTGAAAAATACTATCGTAATTATATCTGTTTTATAAAAACATCATCGGTCAGGTTAGCAAAAGGAGACACAAAAAACAAGGGTAAATAAATTAATATAGTTATGCAATATTTTGCAAGGTAACTTGCCTTAATTTAATTGTATCTTTAAGGACTTGGAGAAAAATTATGATAATGCTATTAAAAACTTGTCTTTCTCATTTATATAAGATACATATTTTTAAATTTAAATATCAAAAACACAATACTTATATTCTGAATCTACATACTTCTTTAAATAAACCACAATTTTTAAAGGCAAATTTATTTCTTTAAAAAAGTAATGAAATATGTATAACGACACTTCTTTACTTAAAAACTTGTCTGTGACATTGACCTTCTGATCGCAATAAGCTTCAAAAATACTTTGTAAATTTTAGGAAGTTCTCTCAGGTGTACTAAATATTGTTTTGAATAATATTTTGACTTTGTTAGCTTTATTTGATGAGCACCTCTGAATCACAATTTTATTTTGGATACTTTAAAAAAATTATTAGATTTAACAGCATTTATATATTTTTCTCCATTAAACTATCTAAACACTTGGTAGAATCATTCTAAATATTACAAGTCGTTGTCATACTTAGTATTTATTTTCCATCCGAATGTCTGTATATAACAATTAATTTACATACACGAAATGAAAAAAAATCAAATGACAAAATTTAAAATTGTAATTTATACATTTATGTGGAATAAAATAATAATGTCAAAAGGAGTGGAATCTATTTGATGACGTATGAGAGAAATTACAGGTAAAATACCACATTTAGATTATAAGTTATCCTAATATTACTGATGATGTTTGTTCCTTGTTGTCACGCACTATTCATACAATGCTGTCTCCTGATAAAATGTAACTCCTGTGTATATATGCGCATCTCAATAATCCGACTTAACTATCATTGTATCATCTTAAGATAACGTTTTATTTACATCTTTAAATGGTTGTATAAAACAAATAGATGGTTATTTTTAAATGTGATTATGCTGATACATCACATATTCTTATCTTTATGGATCACACCACTTACAGAGTATTTCCAAATAAACCAAGGAAAGTATAAGGTAACAAGTATTTGAAATATAATATTTTATCAAAGAGATGTATTTATTATCTTCTCAAGATATTCTTTTTATAGCCGCAACGATGTATTTACAAACATAAATTATCTCATTGCTTTCAAGAAGAAATGTATGTTTTAATATTAAATATAATAACAAAAATTGTTTTCATTTCAAATTAATTTAATATCAAGGGTATTGCGAAGACAAGAAGTTAACTTGCTTTAATCGTATCTCTATAGACAGATACATTTTGAATATTATTGACAGTAATTTTAATTAGATAACTATATACAAAAGTCTAGCAAATCAAATTAGAACAAATTTACAATTTCCAATAGAACTTAATTTCATAATACTGGCTAGTATGCGACTTATAATACATAATATACTGGTATCGGTAGAAATAAAATAAAATCATCTTAACAAAATTATAAGTTTTAAAATTCTATTTATTTTGTCATACCATAACAACATGGTTAAGTTTTAGGATTACATAATATATATATATATATATACAATAATTCATTTGTTAGTTCAAGGTTAAAACTCAACACAATATTACTAAATTAAATAAAAGCCAGTGTGTGTTTAAAGTCGTATATGTGCAAGAACACAAAATAGAAAATGCAGTATGTGACCTCCAACTGTTTCTTTGAAACTTTTTGCGCTCCTTTTTATTATTTATTACTTACTAATTTTAAATTCCCGCTTGGCTTTTTATTCTTGGTTTCTTTAAATAAGAAATTGTTCTTAACCACACTGTAGCTACATAATACGTATATGGTCTCTCTTACTATAACGTATAATCTGAAATTTTAACAAAACTTAATGAAACTTTGTGTACCCTAGCTTCAACATGAAGGTAGTTGAATAATATAAAGAATGTTATATATATTTTAATTAATCTATCCTTAATTCTGGTCACATATAATTTCATTAGCAATAACAGCAAGACACGTACCTTTTAAACACCATCAATTGGTTTCGGTCAGTAATCGGCAACTTTTCTGTCCTCCCCTTATAAATCGCCCGTACGTGAGTCCACTGGTTTATTAGCCTTATCTATTTACTTCCACCGCGTTTTTACCTCCCGTTCGTGAAAATTACTAGATCGTGGAATCTTCCTCGCATCTAACTCGTAAAAAGCATAATACATATTACAGTTCTACCACATAAAACATAGATCAGTATTAGGATCTATTTCAAATATATTTTATAACCAGAGAAATGGGGAAATTATTATTTTTATTATTTTTACTGTTAAGTGCTTACACACATTATTTTTATTTCAAAATTATTTTATAATATCTAAATTATTGTTTATTTTGTGTATTATATTAAAATTACTTTTATCTCTATACAAATAAATATAACTGGTTTTTCATATACTTCATGATATTTCTTTATAACTGCATTATTTTGTGATATTAAAAACCGTTTTAATGAAATAAAATATTTTTAATAAAATAAAATTTTCAAATTTCGAAAAAAACGTTTATTATTTCCTGTTATCTAATAATTCATATCTTCTCATAAATTTTATTTAGGGGTGGTGTAAATGCCAGCATCCAATTTATCCTTAACTACACTTACAATCATTAAACAAAAATATGTAGATAAATAAAAAAAACTTGTGTAAAATACAGCATAGACTTCTTTCAGAATAAAAAAAATGCAGTTAATTGCAATTTTAGCAATAAAATTTTATCTAATCGCTAAAGAAACGTCATCAAAGTAATTTAAAAATTAGTTTGTCTTTCAGAATCCATTAAAAGCTGTATATATAGCGAATGATACTTCAAAGCTTTTTTATGATTATATTAAAAATTCTACCCAAAGTAATATAACATCAATATGTCATGAATATAATTAAATACAAAATATCTATACGTATTAGAACCTAAAGATAAATAATAAATGATTAAACAGCGGTTAAGTATTACTTACTAGTATAAATTAAATTTATGTCTGAAACTATGCATTACTTACTTATTATCGTTATTATATCACTACTTAAATTCAGGTCGCGTATATCTACTTTCTACTTTCTTTCATTAGTACTTTACTTGTCTATATTTATTTTCCTTGAGAAGCTGTAAATCAATCAAACCATACCTTAATAAGTTGTATGAACATGAATAATATTACTGCAATACATACGCCACGGTGATTTGCTAATATTATTTTACACCATAGCAAGAGTCACATAAGATGTCATTAATTGAGGGGATTAACAAATTGTTTCAAACTATCAAACTTATTGAGACATTATTTAAAAAATAACTAAGTATTAAATAACTCAATATGATTCTTTGTGATAATAGAATAATAAAAATAAGATCAAGTTGAAGTTTCTCAAGCCAGGGAGTTATGACGTACCGTTAAAACCAACGAGCGGTCGTTTTGACCCGGCTAAATATATTAACAATTTACAAGTACAAAACAACCATTCTGTTACTAAGACTGTATAATATATAGAGGTTCATTTGTCCATCAGATGGTTCGCCTCGTAAAACATGTTTATGGTG